AACCTAGTAAAATAAAGAGTAATGAACAGGCCACTTTAAAAAAAAATTGCATAAATGGAAGGGTGCAACGTTCAGAAGAACTGCCCTTCAGATTTGAATAGTTCCACTTGAAAGAGCAGTCTTCAAAACAAAGGAAGTTGTGTATTTATTAATTGGATGGGCTGATATGCTATTCCAGCCAAATGCAACTTTGAGTAGCGTTCATTTCATGATACTGTAATTAGATTGCAGCAATTAAGGCTAGCAAAGGAAAAACAATTATAGCAAAATGAAAACTATCTGACGTAGCAATGATGAATAAACCATCCTAAGTTAAGAAGTGTGAGCCAACTTGGTGTAGTGGTTAAAGGCATTGAACTAGAAACTGAGATACTGGGAGTTCCAGTCTTTTTAAGCAGAAAACCAGCTTGGGTGACTTTGGGCCAATCATTCTCTCTTAGCTCTAGGAAGAAGACAGTGAAAAAATACTTCTGAAAATGTTGCCAAGAAAAACGCATCAACTTGTCCAAGCAGTTGCAAGAAGTCAACACTGATTTCAAAATGCATATACAAGCTTAAGAATCTTGCTAGATAATCAACAAATTAATCAAGAAAGCAGGCATGATGACATACTGGTAGCCCTTACTATTTAGCAGTCTATAAGATTTGGGGGCAAATGCTTACAAGGATGGCATAGTAGCCAGGAATTTGCAGCATTACTATTAAAAGTATAACATTCTTAATGTAGACACCTGATTGTAGGGGGAAAAAACCCTTGTTCAGAAATGAATAGGTGGTACCAAAATTGTAAGGTTTTTGGAATCAAGTGCAAACACTGTTCACCCAAGCTTTTAACTGTGATGCTCTATCTCATTATTTTAATTATTTTTTAAAAAATAACAGCTTTACAATGTTGGGATTTTACACATTTATGATATTGCAATTTAATGATCTAACAACATTTGAATTCCATGATTTTATGATGTTAGAATTTCAATCTTGTATTCCTGTTTGGAGATTATCATAGATACAATGGGAAAAAATCAACATCTGTTTAATAAAGCAATACGTAATCTTGTTGCTCTCCAGAAACAACTAAACAACTAGATCTGCATATGTATATTCATATCTGCAGTTATGCTTTGATGTAATGGACTCTATAAAAATCCAGAACAAGGAAGCAAAGTGATAAAAGGGTTAGGTCAGCTTTACAACTGCTTTAATTCCTGTCCATTAAGATCCATGTGGCTGATTATCTAATAAAATAATTCCATTTAGAAATTATGATTACAGCTCTTATTCCCTTCTCTATTTTTTCTTTAAGCCATCAGTATTACCTAAACAATTACATTGGATACCAAGGCAGACAAGCTAGTTAATATTCTGAAGAGCATGTGTTTTTTCTGTATCTCTCTGTATGACATGAGAAACATAAGCGACTTATATAAATTGAAGAAAAGTTGGAAAGTTGAGCTGAAGATTTCCTTTCAGAAATTTCCATTATGACCACTAAGGTTTTCAATTTTTTCTTCAAAGACTGTGGACTTATGTCTACAAATTGTAAAGTTTCAGCATGGAATGCAAAGGAAGAGGAGGGACCGTTAGGCCTCTTCTCAAAGGCGCTTTTTTCAAAGGCAACTGGACTTCCTTTGTTTTTTTCTTGAAGACCTTTCATTTCTCATCCAAGAAGTTTTTCTGAAGAATTGAAGAAGCTTCTTGTATGAGAAGCAAAATGAAAAAAAAAAGCACCTTTGGGACAACCTGGATGACTGAGAGTCTCCATAGATATTAGACCCTTTCTCTTTTCTTTTAAAACTCAAAACAGAAAAGTACAGGAGTCCTCTTTGGATACTTCTGAATGTGAACTAGTTCCTGAGAAGCAATAAAGCTAGAAGTAGCACCTTACTGATCCTTAAAGGTAACAGAACCTTTGCAGTAATCCATTAGGGGTGGGGATGCTAAATTATATCCTCTGTTATTACAATTGTTTCAACTGCTGCACTGCAAAACAATGAGTCCTTCCTAAATATTTTTTTTTAAAGGTTGGATGTGATTCAGGTCAGAAATCAAAGCAGCTATTCAAAGCAAGCAACAGAAAAGAAAGGGAAGATATAGTAAAGATACGGCCCCAAAAAGACATGCATATTTATATATGTAAGGATTCAGCAACTGATAACTTCAGGGCTAAATTTGCAGCTGCTATTAAGAAGATTATGATTTGGAGGGAAGAGCAAGAGTATTCGGGAGTATCAAAGAGACCATTGGGGAGTGCAGCAAATATTTGAGTGAATATATGTGTGTGTGTATGTGGATATGGATATGGATATATATACACACACAATTATCAGTTGCAGAGGAACAAAGGCAAGAAAGAGAACAACTCTGTGATGTGGGAAGTCAGTGTGTTGTGGCTCAACAAACTTGCTATGTGTGTGTGTTTATGTGTGTGTGTGAGAGAGAGAGGGAGGGAGGGAGGGAGGGAGAGAAAACACACACACATTGCAGTGACTGGCCTAGTCTTGACTTCCATTCTGTACTTTCTTCCTCTTTCCTCTCTTTAACAAATGTAGTTTTGACAATCTTAATTTGTGGCATGCCTTACTGTGAAAAAATGTCATGGTGTCAGAATTGGAGCTGCTATGTGTCTATTGGAAATTTAATATTGGCTTTCTAAGCATGGCTGTTCTTACTCCCCACATACCTTCCTCCCTTAATATTACAGGGGAATTTGTTCAAATTGGGAACAGTGTTTTCACTTGTGCTTGGCTGCAATTAGGGCAGAAGACACTTCCAAGAAATGATAAGCTGCAGTTCTGTTACATTGTGCTGAGATCCGCAGCTTTGAACACCCCAAAAGCATCAGTAGTCACTGTGAGAAATTAAGTACCAGACCAAACTGGATTTTGGACTGACCCAGCAGGGACAAAGATTTTTATAACATTTGCAAAACAGAAATAAAATAAAGATCTATTTAATTACTTAAGGGTAGTAATATCACTGATTAACTCTTCCTAAATGCCAAATATGTTTTTTTTGTCATACAAGATGGTTGATCATATGAATCTCTAACTAAATACTTAAGTCACTGAATTATCACTTGAAATACAGCATTTGCACTATACTTCTGGTTTTGTTTTTCTCCAATGCAAAGCCATAAATTCAACTGGGAGATTTCCCGCTCCCCCTTTTATTACAGTACTGGTAAAAGCTGAACAATCTGAATATTGTTCAACTCTGGTGATCATCCTGCAGGAAATCCAGCTATGTGGTCACTTAGAGTCAGCACCAACTTGATGATGCATAATCAATCAATCCATGATCATGGTGTTGACAGCAATGGGTTGTCAGGAACTGTGCAGACTTGGCATTCAGTAGAAGTGCTGCCTCAGGTTTTTATATATGCATACAAAAGAGGAAGGCCTTCCACCCCTTGATGCTGGCTCAGCCATCTTGCAGAATTTGACCTCCTCAGGGAGGCTGCTGTTGGTAGGAACAAGAACTCTTGACCCATTTGCACAGATATCTCAGTGAAAATTCATTTAAACAGACCTATCATCAAAGCAAATCATCTATTATTCTTAGTCACGATTCCATTTTTTTGTTCTGGTTTCCCAGTTTCTGTTGATTAACAATCCCTTCTTCTGACTCATGCATAGCTCATTAAAATTCTTGAAATATTTCTACCTCAAAAGTCTTGTTTGGGAGTAAAAGGTTCATTTAGGAGGACATTCTTGCAAAGAGTTCTGTAAGGGATCACCATGTAAGTATACTACTCAATGTACAGTTTTAATACTAGTCACCTCAGATTGCCAACTTTTATATGTGTCCTTACTATAATAACCACTTTCCTTTAGTAATGTGACAACAATTTTATGCATTCTGCCTTTGGAAAGACTGTCGTATATCATATGCTGTAAAATGAGATTAGTAGTAACCCAATGTTTTCTTTCAGAATTACTTATCTGAACTGGGGAACCTGCAGAAGAATGGGGAAGTGATTCCAATATCTTCACAAGCTGTGTACAGTGAACTTCCCTCAACAGACACCCCCTGCCTCAGATGAACATAACATCCTTTGTGCACAACAACAGAAATCTGCCAAACTAAACACATCCTAACGTAATGCACTCCAGAGGTGTTTGAATTACTGTTTCCAAAATAACTGGACAACATGGCTGACAATGTTAGTTGGATTGGACTATTTCCAAAACTGGGAGACAGCAAATTGAGAAACAATAGCCTAAGCAATAGCCCAGGGAGGACTTCAGCTTGTGGGTAGAATGCTGTATTTGAAAGAAAGGAAGAAACAAACCTGAAAGAAATCAAGACAGCTGTTGGTAGAATTTATTGCTGACTTTGACATGCTTCTAGGGTTTGCCATGATGGAAAAGCTAGCAAGTAGGTACCATCTAGAGTGTCCTGAAGAACCTCAAAACACCGTGGGTTGGGCTGAATTAGTACTTGAGGAGCCACTATGAAAATCTCAAGGTTCTAGGCTATACTGGAAAGTAAAAACTGAAGCTATAGCAAATCGTGTACTTCTATTTGGTTATGGAAGTTGTGGATATGCTCATATACTGCAATTATTAGTAATTGAACTTGACCTGATGGAGTTTTTACCTTGTTTTATATAACAAGTTGTGAGAGGCAGAGAAGACACCAAGGACAATTTCTACCCCTTAGAATTATAGAACTGGAAGTGATGTATCAGGTCATCAAATCTACTGCCACTGCACACAGCAGGATTCACTACACTAACTCTGATAGATGATCATCCAGATTCCAGTTGAAAATCTCCAACCTCTTTGTTCAGGTTTGGTTGCTTGGTACTGAAAATGCTAAGCTATCAAGCTACTTCACTGTTTCTTTCTGACTATCTTTGTGAAAAAAAATTATAATAAAAGAGCTTTCTTACCTACAGTTGCTGACCCTATTTTAACATTATTTTTAAGATTGGGTCCTTCAAGGCATGGTTTTCCTTAATCAGCCATATGAGAGAAAGAATGAAAAGAACGCCATACCTGGTGTCTTCTCTGTGAAGATGACTTTGGATTCTGCTGTAAAATTCTGGCCGGTTAAAATCATTTGCTGTCCACCGTATACAAGGCAGGTGTCCACATCTTGTCTTTCAACCATTGGAAGTTCATGAGCCGAACGCTGAGCTATGGACAAAATACAGACTAGAATTAATTAAATTAAATCTTTTTTTTAAAAGTGGGCAATTTCAGAAGTACTCACAGATTCTATTTTATCAATATTGCCATTCCCTCACTGTTAAAGAACTTATCTGGAAGACTCTTTTTTTTTCTTTTTACAACTCTGTAATCATTTTTATCAGGGTGGAGTCAGGGTGATTGGATAGAGCTGAGTGTTAACTGGCTGGATGCCCTTCCTGACACCTATGTGGAGTTTGCAGCAGATATTTTCTCTTTGTGTCCTGATAGAGAAACATCTGTTTTGTCTAGGATTGAATTTTCAAATTTTCGAGTGGGAGGCAAGCATCTTCACCTCTAGGCCATCCTGCCACTAATCTGGGAGACTCAATTAAGGGCTTAAAAATAGAAGAGGAAACATAAATGTATACAGAAATAATAATTAGGAACTAATTCCAGAACTACAGCTCTGCTGGCTGTCAGCTTTGGAATCGTTATTAAAATCTGCCACACAGCTGAGGAGGATTGGAGGGGACTGATGTTGTTTGAGTAGCTCTCAGTAGATAAAATAGATTCTGTAGTATTCAAGGTCATTGTGAATGGCGCAGCAAGAATTGGGGCTGAAGGAGGATTGGTTCACGTGATGTATGATGTGGGAAAAAGGGGATGGGTTGTAGGTTGGGTCCTTGTGGGAAGTCTGGAGGGAAACTTTAATTTCAAAATTCCACAGAAGTACCATTTTCTATTCTAATAAAAGTACTTTGAGATTATGGTTGTCTTGGAGTTACAGGCTGGAATGGATAATCTCTGGAATGCTGACATTGGCCTTATTCCTCGTCTCTAACAAACAAGAACTCAGAACATGGAATCAGCCCATGTTTCATTCCAAGCCAATGGCCAAATATTCAATTGAACATACGTTACAATCATGAAACCTAAAATGTGCCACCTGCAGACTCAATTTCAATCAATAGGCCCAAATTATTTATAGTGAGCTGAAACATAAGTTATTCCGAAATGGAACAGGACAACTTTCTCAATCAGCTAAGTAGCTAAACGGGGGTGTCAAACTCATGGCGTCAAGTTGTTGTCATGTGATGTATCACGATTTTTTTTCTCCTTTGCTAAATAGGGAGTGCATGGCCAGCGCGTGACACATCCAGCGCGGGCTGCAAGTTTGACACTGCTGAGTTAGAACATACTTTATCTTGTATTTCACTGGGATAAGTAAGAGCAGAGGAATCTCAGACAGGGAGCTAAATTGCAGAAAAAGGTGTTGTAGAAAGTCCAATTGCTTATTCTTGTAAGGCACCTTTGATGTGCATTTAAAAAGTGTGAAGTGTCTATATAGCACTTTTGCATTTAACCCAATTTGCCTTTACAATAAAATCTTTCAAAAGGAAAGAAAGGATTGGAAAGAGGTAGAGAGAGACTGAATTCACAGATTCAAGCTAGCCAGGCAAATTTTGAGTTTCAAATCCCTTCTTACTTAAATTCACAGAACAACCAACAAAGACCCTTCAGTAACAACTTATCTAGACCAATCCTTTGCCATAAGGAAAGACATCTTGTTCATGAAGTATCTACCCACACCATAATAAAGATCCAGCTAGTTTCCTCGCTGGACTATTCCTTGTGGTAATGAAATTTTCAGAATTTCATCTTTCATCAGATTGGTGCTTTTTTCTTCTTTCACCATTGAAAAGATCAAATATTTTCTTTGGGCTGTTCCTAATACCTCTCAAGCTGTTGTTTAGATTAAGTGACCTAGAAGTTCAAGATCTGAATTCAAACTCCTCAATTTTAATCTCATCCGTTCAATGAAGATCTCTGAGGAATTTTGTTCAACATCTTAATAATCTCCTTAACCATTTGTGCTTTGTCTTGATTCATGGATTGCAAACTAATTCATGCAGCCCTTCTGCTTAAAGATTTTCTACCACTTCTGCTTGAAATGAACAATAGCCATGGTTGCAAAGAATGTCTCCAAAATATACCACAAGCAAACATCCTTTTTAGAGATACCATCACTCGCCCTACAATTTGTACACTGATGCATAAAACTGATGACAAAGTCTTCACAATTTCTTCATTTGAAAGTTTAATCTTGTCAAGTTTTTAGAGGAAGTGACAGCAGTAGCTTTCTAAATGATGAGCAGGAAATGAGAACTACACTATGAACAGAGTAGACATGCTAATATCCCAGCTTTCAGTGGCTACTAGAGATTGGAAATAATTGAGATTAGTGTCTAGATATTTTTAATGAATAAAATGTATAATTTCTGGGTAAAACTATGGATTGGAAGATAACGGTTTTCAAACATGTCTTTACTTATTGTACCAGTAAAACAGAATATTTGTAGCTCAGGATTGAAATGGGGGCTCTTTAGTGCTCTCTCATTTTAGTGGACTTGCCCACTAGAATATAAACTGAGAGCAAACCCAACTCCTTACTACAACTGATGATGGTTTGGGTAATGAAAGCTCAGAGAAGATTAAGGATCGTTCATTTATATACAGCAGTGTATATGGAAATTCTCATTCATCCAGGTCATAGTTGTCCCAAAGGTGCTTTCCCCCCACCCTCAAACTGTATTTTATAAAGGCAACTGTATTTTGCCTTTCGAAAGAGCTGAGGTGGTGCAGTAATTAGAATGCAGTATTGCAGGCTAATTCTGCCAACTGCCAGCAATTCGTTTTTCACAGGCTCAAGGTTGACTCAGCCTTCCATCCTCCAAGGTCAGTAAAATGGGGACCCAGACTGCTGGAGGCAACATGCTGATAATGTAAACAGCTTAAAGAGGGCTGTAAAGTACTATGAAGTGGTATATAAGTTTAAGTGCTATTGCTATTTTCTTGTTTTTTCCTTTGAAAACATTCCGTTTCTCATCCAAGAAGCTTCTTCAGTTCTAATTACCTGGTAGGGAATTCTTTAAATATTCTTAGCTGGGAAAAGCATGCTAAAAGGGTCTTTGGAGTTAAAATGCATATAAGAAGACTTATTTTAATTAGACACTACCAAGTGCATATCATAGACAAAAATCTGTATACTGTAAATATGAATTTCCATATATTTGAAAAACAAGTGGGAATTGGGAGAAGAGGTCTGTGGTTGGTTGTGTGTACTATGATGCAGTCTGATGATCTCCAGTTATATTGGACAACAATCATGAGTATTTTTGACTGTGTTGGTATGAATTACTCAACACATCTGGAGGACATCATGTCTTTAGATTTCTGCCTGAACAGTTTTTGCTGTTAGTCTATTAAAACTTAACTTGATTGTACAATCACAAAAGGATTCCCAAACTTCAATTTTGAACAGCGGTTTATTGCATACATGAAACTCAGTACACATCTATTACCAAATGCATATATATTTCAGAGAACTAGCAGAATATCTATTAATATTCAGTGAGCTGCACCCATTCCCTGGGTGATTAAAATTAACCTCAAATTATAGTTCAGAAGTGATCACAGTAATTTGTCAATGTGGGACATGTTTCTTCTTCTCTCTTTAACTTAGTGTGCTTCATTCTTTATTATTAACACAGCTGGCCCATAAAGCTGCCAGTACTTTATGCCGAGATTACTTTCACAGAAGTTGCTTATTTCTTCCACATGGTATGTATGATTAATCATTCTTTGTAAACAGTAACAGTCTTGATGAGTTAATGATTGGATTGACCACTAAACAGAAGATTTATGGTTCTGAAAATACAAGATATCTAAAAAGAAAATCCAGCTACAATGTTCAAAAGTTTAAATGCTGTCTTGAGATTATCTTAATATTCTTTTAATCTTAATATTCAAAACTTAAGAAGTTTCTCCTCTGGTAATACTGAATTACTAACTAGGGCATACAAAACCTTTGCTAGACCAATACTTGAATACAGCTCGGCTGTCTGGAATCCAAACTGTATATCGGACATTAATTGAGCATGTCCAGAAGTATTTCACAAGAAGGGTACTACACTCCTTTGTTCACAATAGAATACCTTACACCACTAAGCTTGAGATTTTGAATTCGAACAGCCTAGAACTACGCCGCCTATGGTTTGACTTAAGCATAGTTTATAAAATAATCTGCTTTAATGTACTACAAATCAATGACTTTTTCACCTTCAACTGCAACAATACAAGAGCACACACACAACAGATATAAACTTAATGTACACCACTCCAAACTTGACTGCAGAAAGTACAACTTCAGCAACAGAGTAGTCAATGCCTGGAACACACTACCTGACTCTGCTCATCCCCAAACCCACACTCCTTTCGCTGAAACTAACCAATATTGACCTCACCCCATTCTTAAGAGGCATGCATGAGCATAATTGTGCCTACCATCCCTGTCCTATTGTTCCCAATTATTCCTGTATTTATACATATGTTTATTATCTTGTAAACTATTGACAAATAAATAATAAGAAAAATAAAAAAAATATTTTTATAGAGCTAATTCTAAATTTAGAAAGTACTGGAGAAAATTTCAATGTAGTTCCAGTAACAGATCTACCCCATGATCAACGTTTCAAGGTAAAGAAACAAAGATTGTACAGTAGCATGTATTCTTTCATTGTACTATGGTATTAATAATTTGAATAACTTCACTAACAGAAAGAGATAGTTAAAAGGAGCATACTTATGGCAAAGCAGGAACTTATGGTCAGCAGAAATCAAGGACCTTACAAGACCATTAAGAGACTGAACAAGCATTTTTATGAAATAGTATAGGGCAGTGGTAGATAACCTTTTGGGGCTCCTGTGCCCAAAATTGTGCGTGCACTTGCATGCTCGTGCTTGCATGCCAGCACCCAGAAGGCTATGCACACACACCCACGCCCCCTACTCATGCATGCATAATCCCCACCCACCCAGCTGCCACCCCACACCACCCCCTTACCTGCACTGGCCTCACAACTGATTTTTGGCCAGTTTGAGGCCTTTTTCTGCCTCTCAGAGGCTTCAGGGAGGCTTCTGCATGCTTTTCAGGCCGAAAACTAGGC